TCCCTCCGCTCATCATCCCTCTCCTCAACCCCCGCTGTCTGCTCGCAGCCTGCCTTGGCCTCCTCCAGGCCTCGTCGCAGCGCCGCGGCCCTGCGCATGGCGGTCATTGATATCAACTCGGAGCAGGAGCTTGACCAGGCGATCGAGGCAGCAGGTTGGTTTTCAGTGCTCTGTTCTTCTCATCCTTTCTTGCTCTTCTCGTTCCTCTGCCTCCTCGTCTTCTTGCTGCCCTTGTCCGTACTTCGCAAATATGTGCCGATCCGTTGCAATCCTGTCATTTTCTTGTGCTACCATCGTTATGACGACCCTCGTCATCCCCTCTCCTTGGCTCTTCTTGCCCCTGCCGCCTCTTGAGCCATGTTTCTATCAGCAATGCATTCCTTTGTGTACTTGTGCTGTTTAGGTTGGAGACTACTCCAAACCTCCCCTGTTGCATTTCAAGTTCACCATTATAATTGTGAACTAGTCCACGATCATCATCATTATCACCATGATCATCACCATCATCATAATCATTATTATCGTCATCACCATCACCACCACCACCATCACCATCACCATCACCATCACCATCACCATCACCATCATCATCGTCGTCGTCATCGTCGTCACCATCATCATCATCACCACCACCACCACCACCACCACCATGATCATCATCATGATCACCATGATCACCATCATGATCATCATGATCATCATCACCATGATCACCATGATCACCACCACCACCACCATCATCATCATCATCATCATCGTCATCATCATCATCGTCATCATCATCATCATCATCATCGTCATCATCATCATCATCATCATCGTCATCGTCATCATCATTACCACCAACATCACTACTACCACCATAATCCTACCACAAACACCATCATCATCGCCGTTATCACCACCACTAGCGCTACCTCTATGCATTGTGGACTCTACTCAAGAGGCTGGCAGGGGAGAACACGCTTGTTATCATCGACTACTCGACCACCTGGTGCGGTCCCTGCAAGGTGATCGCGCCCAAGTACGACGAGATGAGGTGAAGGAGCAGGAGGGAGGCAGGGGAGCTGAAAGTTCTTGTTTCAGCGACAAGTACAAGGACGCTATCTTCCTTAAGTGCGTTGGGGACACCTCCCCTGAAGCCACCAAGCTCATGAAGCGTGAGGGGATCAGGTCAACATCGCCGTCTCTTGTCGAGTGTTGTCATGCTTGTACCTTCACTCTTTCTCAACGTCGACTCTTCACTCCCTCCAAACTTTGCGCATCCTCAACGCTCGTCTTCTTTCATCTCGTTGCTCTTGCACACCATCTCCTTTCTTTCATCTCTCACCTCGCTCACCTCTCTCGTCCCTTCCATGCACCAACCACTCTTTCTTCTTCTCACTCCCATTGTCGAGGGTTATTGAGACATGATCAGGTCTGTGCCCGCCTTTCACTTCTGGAAGAAAGGAGCCAAGATTGAGGTGATGGAAGTTGACGACATGCCTTGCAAACCGGTGAAGCTTTCCTAGGTGATCGCCGGCGCAAATGTCGAGGCCCTTGAGAACACCATCAAGGAGAATCTTTGAAGATTTTGCGAATGCGTTTAAGATGGGAGTCTTTGGCGTGACGTTTGACAGAGCACCGAATTGAGTGAGAGGAAGTGTTGTCAGCCTTGAGCGCTCAATACATACATCTCTGTCAGCCTTGAGCGCTCAATACATACATCTCTGTCAGCCTTGAGCGCTCAATACATACATCTCTGTCAGCCTTGAGCGCTCAATACATACATCTCTGTCAGCCTTGAGCGCTCAATACATACATCTCTGTCAGCCTTGAGCGCTCAATACATACATCTCTGTCAGCCTTCTCTCGTGGTCTGGTCTGGACTTCCCCTCACATGCTTGTTTTCACTCTCGAGAGTTTCTCCACACGACATCACACGACTGTGCAAGCATAAAAAGTCTCAGTAACCTCAACCTGTTTTCATTGTCCTATATACAAAAATCTGCACCATAACCAAAATGACAACGATGTGCGATTGGATGGGCCCTTCCCGCGGACTCGCTTGAGTCAAAAATGGACGGAGATGCAACCTACGCGTCTGCGGTCAAGAAGGTAGTAGTGCTTCCGAATCCTGCAGCAAGCTTTCAGTTGGTCGCATAGACTCGTTGTAACGGCTGCAACTACCTGGCGTTGATCTGGTCCGACTCCTGCCCGCACCTCAACATTTCGGGGCTGGACGAGTGGATGACTTTGCACCTCGCCAAGAAGCTCGATCCCTCTGCAGGCTCCTCGTCAGTCTAGCCTTGGGATGGGAGGGAGTGCAGACGATTCAGTGCGAATGATGATGTCAATGATGATGGTAGCAATGATGATGATGATGATGATGATGATGATGATGATGATGATGACACGAGCAAACAAGATAGGAAAAATGTTAAAGGAGTAAGAAACGTACCGGCACGCTCGCGGTCAAGCTGGTTGAGACGAGAGATGAGCTTCCAAAGTTGCCTAAAGCCGGCTTCAACCACAAGCTCTGCAGCTGCCAGCCTCTTGGACAGATCTTCAAGCTTGCGCTTGAACTTGGATCGCTGATTGAACAAGAACAAGCTCTTCCATGCACTCTGCTCGTAGCGAATCATCTCATCCTCTAGATGGCTCATCTCGTCCTTCACTTCGTTGACCTTCCTCGTTGCCAACTTCATAAGGTCGTTGAATGCCTTGTGCAGGGAGGAAAGGAACGTGTTGGTTCCCTCCTCTTGACTGCTGTTTGCTCGCAAGAATGCCGGACTTAGGTCAGGAGAAGCTTCTCCTTCATTCGTCTTCGAACAGGCTACTTGAAATTCCTCCACCAGAACTTTCTTGTGCTTGCGCCAGTGCGCGATGGGGTCGGCCACGATATGAAGGAACGGAAGTTCAGCGTGTGTGGTGGCATTTCCCATTATGAAATCCATCGCCAGCTTCTTGAGTTCTTCACTGGTCGCATTGTGAATGCTCGAAGCTTCTTCAACATCCCTGTCTCCATAGCTAGTAGACGAATCCATCCTATGTTTCACGGCCAACGAGTACGACTTCTGAATCGTCTTCACCCGTTTCAAAATTCCTCTTTGGACGAGCTCCACAGAGATCAAGAAGTGTTTGAGAACAACAGGCAAGTCAAAGAACTCGCCCGCCTTCTGAATGACACCGGAGAGTTGACTATCACGCACAGACATCAAACAGCTTGCTCTATCACTGTGCGCATTGATAACCCTTCAGTCCTTCAATGCTGCTCCTTCCTTTCATCAATTGCTCACGTCTCTTTTGTCGACAAGAGATATCTGGGTGTCTCGCATTCAATGGAACTCAGATGTTCTTCAATCCTCCTTGTTGCTCGTTGTGGTTGCCGGCCCTCCCACTCTCATGACAACGGCGAGTGTCACTCCCTGCATTTCCAGTCTTGCCCTCTCCAGCTCGAAGCCTTGAGCCTCCCTCCCCTCTCTCCGTCCTCAGATCCCTCTATGTCCTGACCTCTCCGTGTCCTCTCCTCTCTACGTCCTCTCCTCTCCTCGTCCTCTCCCTCTCCTCTCCTCTCCTCGAGCCATTCCACCACATCCAGTCCGTTCCACCAACATTCTCCGCATGAACTCCTTGCCCCATCCACCCCACCCCCACCCACCCACTTCAGTCCAATCGCACCTGTGCTTGTGAGATTTCCCACCAGGACCCCTCCTACTGTAAGGATCCTGAAGCTACCGTACCCCACCCCCTCTTTCCTCGAACCGCTGATTCGAGCACCCCTTGTTGTCGAGTACCCCTGGTAATGTATGAAGTTTGAAGGGCTCACTGACTAGTCATGAGCAGACTACCCCTTGTGTTCTTTACCCCTACCCCCTCAATATACACCCTCAAACTTGATGACCCCATGCGCTCGATTACCAGCATCCCACCCCACCCCCTAATTCTTCTCTCAAGACCCTCACCGCCCTCTGCTTTCACCATCATGCCCAAACCCGGCCGCTCCAACCCAGTACCCCTACCCCCGAATATACTGACAAGTACCCCATCTTGCCCTTGCGAGACTTGTGCTTGAAGAAGATCTGTTATTGAGAACCCCTTCCTTAGGGGGTAGGGTCGAAATTTGTGGGTACCCCCACCCCCTGCTTTTCAACAGGATCCTGCGAGAAGATGGAACAGGTGGGCTGGGTAGGAACTGATCGTGACGAGGGGTGGGGTGGGTACTGATGACGGAGTGATTAATATTTGCAGGTAAAGGAGGGGTACCTGAGACTGAACTTAGTACCGGTAGTGATATGATTGAGAGTCAAGTACCGGGTCATATATCCTCCTACAATTGAGGGGGTGGGGTCATTTGAAGGAGGGAGGTCCCCTTTAATACCAGTAAGTTCCCACCCCTGATTTTTCCAGTCATAATGACCCCACCATGACCCTTCTCGCCTGCAAAGCACCCCCACCCCCACCCCCACCTCCCCATCCTGACACCCCCGTTGTGAAAGTTCTTAAAAATGTTTTAGACGACTGTTCAGCATCGCAACGGGTGACAACTTAATAATGAACGGGCCCGGGCCGTCAGTGCCCGGCGCCGGAGGCTGTCGGACCGGAACCGTCGGCCCGGGCCGTCCACACAGTGACGGTGATGTCCCGGACCGGGTCCGGGCGCCAGCGGCCCCGGCCCGGCCCCGAATTTGTGATGGAGGCACGGCGCCGCGAAGTTCCTGAGGACGGACCTGCCTCGCAGCCCGGCGGTGCGCGGCCGCTGTTGCACGGTTCAGGATTCACTCAACAGGGCCTGTGTCAGCCTCAGCGGCTAGGTCAGTGCGGCTGACTCGTGAGGGACTAGCGGCAGCCCCGTCGGACCACCTGGTAAGTGACCGGGGTCCGGACAGCGCAGTGACGGTGTGTCAGCGAGTACGGTCTGACTCTGGGAGGTGCGAGAGCAGCCAAGGAGACTGGAAGTGTACTCAAGGAGATCAGGGTAGCGTCGCAGCGAGATCACAGTAGAGCCTCTTCGAAAGATTTCAAGTCCTGCAGGAGAGGTTGCAGCTCCGCCTGGCAGCGATGTGAGGAGGAGGGGGAGGTACCGGGATGAAGAGAAGAGGGGAGGGAGAGAGGAGTGAAGGGAGGGGGGACAAAGAGGAGAAGAAGAAGAGTCAGGGGAGGGGAAGAGAAGTAACCGAAGAGGATAGGGGAGGGCAGCGAAGAGAGTCGGGGGAAGGGGAGAGGATGGGGAAGGGGAGAGGATGGGGAAGGGGAGAGGATGGGGAAGGGGAGAGGATGGGGAAGGGGAGGCAAGGGGGAGACGACGGGATTGAAGTGGACTGATGAGAAGGTGAACGAGTAAAAGTCAATATGGAGGAAGGTCAAGGAAGGATGATGTGGTGTGGGGCAGGGGGGCAAAAGGGAGGGGAGGGGAGGGGAGGGGAGGGGAGGGGAGCTTTGTGACCTTGACAGCATCGGGAGGATTGTTGACGAGGACAGTCTGGTAGGCAGCACGACCTGCCCCAGCCATGAGGTGGATCGCAACCTGTAGGATACCGTCCTCAGCCATGGCCAGCATGAGGAGAGGAGTGGGAAGACAGACCTTGGCGTCCGAGACGATGTTGGGGTTGCACGAGGGGATGAACTCGTGCACCTTGAGGGCCTCGGCATGGCAGAGCTTGAGGAGACGGACAGGCACGTCCAGAGCCGTCGCCTCCACCTGGGGAGGAGGGATGAGCAGGGTCTACCATCCCTGCCCTCGTACCTTGGCCTTCTGCTCTGCCGTCATACTGCTGTCTTTCCAGCTGGCCTGCAGCGCGGCATACGCCTCCTCGTCCTCGTCTGCGATCTCCATACACTTCTGTGAAGTCTGCTTGAGAGACTCGGACAGCGCACGGGCTTTCTCCGCCACTCCCGTCTCCTCGTCCTTCTTCCTAGTGGTGTATATGGCCGCCATGGCCCCTGCCGCCGCACCGATCGCTCCACAGACAGCAGCTGTCAGAGAGCATGGTGATCAGAAACAAGCAGTATATCATGACAGTGATCAGTTCCAGTCTCTCCTCCTCCTCTGTGTGTCCATCCAACGTCTCCTCGTGTCCTCCAGGTGTTGCGCCCCCTGCTTAACCCACCCCCTTCACTCTCACCCTACTCCTTCGCATCCCTGACTTCCATACATCTTTTACCTCTTCCTCTTTCTTTCACCATCCTTCGTGAATACACGTCTACGGTTGATCCACCTACATCAGACAACAGCGTCCTTGTCTCCCTCCTTTTACCCCGAACTGCACTTTCTCTCCCTCTCATCGTTGTCGTCGTCGTCATGGTCGCCTCCTCCTCTACCTTCCATCCGTCCTCAAGTTTCCTCTGTGTCTCTTACCTGCTGCTCCTCCTCCTGGTGTCGGCGTCTTCTCCGCCAGCTTCTTCGTCCATGCTCCGATTCCTGCCGCTCCGGTTGCCATCGCGATCAGATGGAATCAGGGGTGGGTGAGGTGTACAAGGGTAGGTACCTGAGGGGTATATCACACCACCCTTAAATATAGAGCAAGAAAGAGACGTTTATATGGGTACGAAAGATTCTTTGGTATTTGGGGGTAGGGTACTGAAAATTGAAGGGGGTTGGGGGGTAGTACATGGGCTGAGACCCCTTGGAAGAAAGCGAAATGAGATGTTTCTTCTACTTACACGGAAGAGAGAAGAAGTAGCAGCAGAAGAGAGAGGAAGAGGGAGAGAGAGGCAGAGGGAGAGGGAGAGAGAGGGAGGGGGAGAGGGAGAGGGAGAGGGAGAGGGAGAGGGAGAGGGAGAGGGAGAGGGAGAGGGAGAGGGAGAGAGTGGAGACAGTAGGAGGGAGAGAGTTGAAGTAAGAGCTCAGTAGCGGAACGGAGAGCAGAGGATTCAGGTCAGTCGAAGTAGAGGCTGATGAATCTCAAACTTCGAGCATCGACTTTCGACTATGCACTTCACTTGCTCTCTATCTGCTCGATGGCGGAGAGGAGACGCGCTAGCAGGGCGAAGCTGTGGACCTCAAGCTCCAAGCACTCTTCCAGCTGCTTCCTGACCTCGGATGCTCCCGCACGGGCGAGACTGGCCCTGGCACAAGATGAGAGGGGAGGAGGCGACAACAAGGAGGGGCTACGGGAGGAAGAGACAGACAGGCTGCAATGAAGGGGGAGGGGGGGGATGAAACAATCAAGAAGGGTTAGAGGCAGAAAAGACCGGGGAAACAAGAGCAGCAGAGCGAAGTAGGTGGTGAGCGGGAAGCAGGGAGAAGAGGGGAAGGAGGGTTCTAGCTGAAGCTGAGGAGGAGACGAACCTGGACGCGCAGATTTTGAGGACGGAGGCTTCGAGCAGATGCCACAAGCTCGCTGTGTTACTCGTGCTCTTGCGCTGCTCCTCCTCCTGCCGCCTCTGGTCTGCTGTCTCCTGTAACGAGAGTAGCCAGCTCGAGCTAAACCCCAGCAGCCTTGCAAGAACCATACGCACGGTCGTCTCATCCTGGTCGTGTAGTGAGGACACGAGACAAGGAGGGAGGAGGGTGGAGGAGGAGACGGATGGGCGAGGAAGGCTGGACCAGGACCGAGATGGGCGGGAAGGGAGGGGCACACCTGCTGCTTCACGTCCTCGACGAGCAGGTCAGCAGCTCCAGCGATGGCCCTCCAACAGTCCTGATCGTCGCTCCTCGCTAACTTCTTCATCCCCATCGTGATGACTTGTGTCGCCAGAACTGCCATACTCTCTTCCACCTCCTGCTCCTCCTCTCCTTCCTCCTCCTCCGCTGCTCCTCGCTCATCGTGTCCGTCGGAAGAGCAGGAGCAGGCGGCAAGAACTACGAGGCATCTTCTGACGCACGGCCAACTGAGAGTCGCTTCCTGCTCCTGCTTGCCGGACTTCCTGAGATATCCGGCAAGGATACAAACCTGAAGTAGAAGGGAGCATGAGAGGGAGGGACGAAGTGAGGAGGAGAGATGAGAAAAGGCAGGAGGAGGAGGATAGTGAACTACCACTTTTCTTCTCATCTTCCTCATCCATTCCTTCCACATCTTGGCCGACAGGCTCCCTTGCTGCAGCGCTGCCCTGCCCGCGCTCGCTACGAGTCTCAACAACACCTAGCAACGGTGAATACTCTCTTTCACGTCAACCTATCTCACCTCCATCTCCTCCTCCGTCTGCAAGCTCCGCACCGTCTCCAGCGCATCCTTAGCGAGCTGCACGTAAATCTTGGTGTTGAGCTCCATGTTGGAGGCGGCATGAAGAGCTTTGACCCGAATCTGATGGCGACGACGACGGAGATCGAGAGGAACGGGATAAGACAAGGAGGAACGAGACAAGAGAGCGTACCCTGCGATCTTTGTGTTGGAGGAAGGAGAAGAGGGATGGTGGATAGTTCTTGAGCGGAGCATTGGAATCATCACATCGAACCGAGAATGAGAAGGAGGAGGAGTTGTCCATGTCATCGCCAAACTCAACGCCGCGGTCAAGAAAGGCGTGCAGCTGCAAAGAAAAGAAGTGAGAGGAGAAGGCATGATGAGATAAGATAAGATGAGATGAAAGGGGAAAATGAGATGCGACGCGACGCGACGCGACGCGACGCGGTGATGAGATGAGATGAGATGAGATGAGATGAGATGAGATGAGATGAGATGAGATGAGATGAGATGAGATGAGGTGAGATGAGGTAAAAAGCGATCAAAAGTAAGATTGTGAAAGTTAGTGTGCAAACTCTGCATCACTCACATCGATCTCGTCCATGACCGCACGAAACTCCATCGTCTCCTCCTCGAGCACTCCCTCATCGCTGCACCTGCACAACCTGATGATGGAGCCTGGACGCCTACCAGCGTCTGCGCGCAGCCGGTGGAGGACTGAGAGGTCCGACGACAAACAGACTGCCTGCAAGTTCCGCAGCAATATACTGACATGTACTGATCCCTCCTCGCGTTGAGCTCGGACTAGATCGGCTATGTGCTGGGAGAGGGAGGTGAAATCGACTTGGAGCTCTCCGAGGAGTCTGATCACAGAGAGAAGGGTTGTGCTGCCGTCCTGGACGCGTGCTAGCAAGTCTGCTCGAGTTTCAGCAGCCGTCTGCAAGGTAGCAAGTTCAAGAGCCCGACGGGCGGAGAAGAAGGGGAAGGATAGCAGCCATCGAGCCACAGCACTTGTGGAGAGAGATGCGAGCGAGGTAGAAGACTTGATTGACCGCAAGTCAGTGCAAGGCAGCCCGGTTGATAGCATCGCCAACAACGAGGAAGACGCACTCACACCTCTTGCATGCAGCGTTTCAACCATGATGCGAAGGAATTGCCCAACATGCTGCATCTTGTTTGTCTTGAGAGAATGTACAATGAGCAGGAAGGTAACGACAGCATTCATCCTTCCCGAATCGTGCTCCCCCTCCTCGCCCTCCTCGAAGGATAGCGTTGAGCTCCAGTAGACGGCAAAGTGCTGAGGCGAGGCCTCAACTGCTCTGATGAGATGATGGAGATATCGACGATCGTCGTTGTAGAGGTCAAGACAGAGTTTGTCATCCCTTACAACAACTTCTCTGATGAGAGTCTGTGAGAGAGCAGGAGAAAACGTCAAATCCGCTCCTGACTGTTCGCAGAGATTGAAAAGTCTACTCCAGAAGCCCTCAGTCCGCAAATCTGAGAATCGATATCAGAATAGACGTACTTGAATTTGACAGAGCAGAGACGAGGAGCGCTGTGGAAAGAAAGGTGGAGAGGAGGAGAGGAGAGGAGAGGAGAGGAGAGGAGAACTTGAGCAAAGCAAATGCAGTCCAAACAAAGAAGTTCAAGAAAAATCGAACAAAACAACATTCGACAGAGTTGCGAGAGGAGAGGAGAACTACTCAGCGTAAGGGTTGCTCACCTTTCAACTTCATGCCTTCACCGACCAACCCCCTCAACAATCTGATCCAACGCCTCGCATCGTCATGCATACACGAGCCCTCGAAACGACTCCAAACTTCCTTGACCTCCCTCTCTCCTCCCCTCGTCAAGAGGAAGACCAACAAGGCCACCTGCTCAGCCCCGACGCTCCGGCCCATCCGAGGAGCTTTCAAGGATTCACAAATTACGTCACAAACAACATCGTCGTCAACGTCCTTCATCAGCATCAACTTCTCCGTAACTTCCCAGACGTTACGATCTGCACACTCTGTCACGAGAATCTCCTGCAGCAGCCCTCTCCCTGTCCTGCTCCTCTTGCTGCAGACTCGCTCCACGTCGCCTCGAAGGTTCATCCACGAGCTTCTCCCACTTGCAACATGGCACCGCACGATGCACTTGCTTGCTGATGACTCCTCCGTTGCGTTCCCATTGCTCCTCAGCTTCTCCTCCCCGACGTCGTCCTCCATCAGCTCCTCCCATCTGCCATCCTCTTCCTCCTCCTCTCTGCGCCTTTTGTTCCTCTTCTCACTTGTCCACCTCATGTTCTGCCGAGCAAGCATCAGATCTTCCTGGAAATTTGCGAGCAGAGAAGCAACAGCAGGAGACGCGCGAGCGATGATCGCCTTTCTTCTCATCAACTCCTCGCAAGCCCGCTGCATCATCGCGAGCCTGTCAGGAGAGGAGAAGCAGGAGGAGGAGGAGGAGGAGGGGGAGGAGGAGGTATCTGGATTGGCATGGCGCAGGGAAGATCGCCAGAAGAGAATCCTGTCGAACAACCACAGGACAAGTTGAAGTCGACATGCCTTGATGTTCTTCTCGATCTGCTGCGACTTCCTATCCACTTCATCGTCCAGCAACAAGTCTTCGCCCACGAGCTCGAGTTCAAACAAGTCCTCCGCCTCTCGCACCTGCCGCGTCCTCACCGTCCCTCCATCATCCCGGTGCAGCCTCTCGCAGAGTTTGACAAGAAGGCACAGCCATCTCGATGATCGCCGTCCATCGTCAACCTGAGAATACAAGGAAAGCAACGATCCCCTCCTTCGCTCCTCCTGCTCCTCCTCCATCCTGTCTCCGTCCTCAACCCTGTTCTCCTCCCCATCCAGAGCTTCACAAAACTTGAAGATCACTTCACGCTGCTGACCAGCCGAGCGATCAGCGATCAGGTGCACAATCATCATTGGACATTGTCGGGCGAGAAACATGACGTCGTCGTCATCTATCCTCGCCGTCCTTCTCATCGTCCCTTCCGACCTGTCGTCGTGAAACTTCACAAACGTCTCAGCCATGAAGTCTTCCCCCTCGAACAACCTCGATCGCAACTCGAACAGCAGGCAAGTCGCATAATCCACTCGTACCTTCATCTCCTCCTCCTTCACCACTCTCGCCAACTTCTTGCTGCTGAGAACCAGCCCCCACATCAGGCGACAAGCTCTATCCTCCTCCTTTCCCGCAAACGCCCTCGCTACATCCTCCCGGTCACCTCTGCCAGGCATCCTCCGTCTTCTCAGCAGATCCTGCACGCATCTGAAGTCGGTGAGGAGGCGAAGGAGGAGGATGGCAGAGAGTTGCGGAATGTGAAGCTCCTGTGCCTCGTCGCGAAGGCTCGGGTGGAGCTGCACGCCCATGACCGGGGCATCTGGCCTCGCATGCTTGAAACTGAGACATGAGAGGAGGGAGCTGAAGGTGATGGAAGAAGCGCCTCCTCCACCTCCTCCTGATCCTCCTCCTCCCAACGACAATATCGATAACCTCGTCATTATCTGCAACGATAGGTACCACAAGCAGAATTGTTGTTTCAAGTTGTGCGAGGCTTCTTCGGCAATCCATTCGACCAAGCTCAAAAAGCTTGTCTCGTCTAGCTCAACCCCCTCCTCTCTCCTCCTCACCTCTCCTCCTACTTCCCGCCCCCCTCCTCCTCGTCTTCCCAAGAAGCTGTACAAGCACAATATGCAGATAGCGCGTTGTACCAGGGCAGGGAAACTCAAGTCCTTGGAGAAGAAAACCTGAAAATGTCCATCGCACACTGATCTACAAGTTTCAAAGTCTCTCGTTGATACAGCTGAGGTATCACGGCGGCTCGGATTGTAATTGTGATGAAGGACACAGAAAACATCCCTTGGCAGCAGAATTTCGTGCCAGAAATGGCTGACTTTGTAGGAAACAGCCTTCACAACGCTGATCTGAACTCCGAGGATGCGCCCGAGCATCTCACGAGGACTGTCATTGCCAGAGAACCGCAGATCCTGATTCCCAGCTGGAGATCGGAACAGATTGCAACCTTGAAGATCATCGTCAAAGTACCTCCGCAAGAACACGAACAATTCTTGTAGACTCTCCCATCCCGCATCAAATAGCCATGGCAGCGACTTTTCGCCATCTCTCAGAGGCGCCAGGTATCTCTGCAGCAGATTCCTGCACGCTTGCACGTCTCTCGTCGCAAACTCATCGCTCACATCACAGCATTGTCTCCCGCGGAGCAGAGCAAGGAGTTTCTGAACAGGTTCCGGGAAGAGCGCGTCCTTCCCTTGCAGCGTATGGGACTTGAGATCTTGACGAAACATTCTCACAGCATCTCTGAGAATGCCGAAGACTCGCTCATTCCTCCCGTCCTCCTCATTCAACTCAACATGGCGGATCAAAGCCCCAACCATCAACCGCATCACTGCTCCTCCTTCTTCTGCTCTCATTCTCGACCTGCCCCCTCTATCTTGCGACCCGCGAGCTGTTGTTGGACGGTTTCCTGCTGTCCCTTCCTCCCTCCCTTCTCCGCGCTCCTCATCGCTCGCAAACTCCTCGCAAACAAGCATACATTCTGCTAGAGTCCTAGAAACAGACTCAGACCTGACTCCACTCCTGTGCTGCTCGAGGACGCTCATGTCTGCGACAGCATGGAAGAGCATGGCACATGAAGACGAGTTTCCAGTATCGAGGAGCAGCCGCACCGCTCCTCTCGGCCATGGCAGTTCTGACTGCATGATTGCCAGCCAGCTAACTCTGGTGAGGTTGTGCATGGAGCCAAGGCTCGTCCTCTCGTCACCAAGTTCACACCTCAACATCTGCATGACAGCTGCTCGGCATGAAGGATGAAGAGGATGAAGAGCCTCTACCATGTTTCGCTCCTCCTCCGCTGCCCTCAGCACCGCCTCCACAGCCACAGGATTCGCCATTGGGGCTGGAGAGGATGCAGATAGGGGTGGTATTTCCTGGGGTGGTGCTACACATCTGCAGTTTAATGTAATAACAAAGGGTGGGTACTATATGGTATGTTGATGGGGTTTCAATAAAGAGTGTGGGGTACATACACGTGGGTAGGGTGGTACAACCCTCAGGTTTTCAAAGTTTGTGGACCAGTCCCTGATATCTCAGTGACTCGGCGGGACCTCAGGACTTCTCTGGCAGTGCCGGGCCCGGCCGATCGGGCGGCCCGGCCCGCAATCGCCGTGACTCCCGGGGCCGGGCTCACGGTGACCCCCGCCGGGCCGCCTCACCTCAATGACCTGACCGTGCCAGCGCGGCCGCACTCAGGCCGAACCGGGCCGGGCGGTGCCGGCGGCGCCGGGGCCCGGTTCCGATCGGGTGACGCCGGGCCCGTTCAAAGTACGGACTGTTAACGTTGAACTTTGAAAGTATGAAAGTTTGATTCAGTGAGGGTCAAAGTTCCAAAACCTGCTTACAGCTTTAGAAGGGTGGGCGTAAATATCAAAAATTGATGTCAAAACTGAAAAGTTGAAGTCAGAGTTGAAAATCTCAGGAAGATATTAGAACCAACAGAACGAAGTGTGTTCACATAAGCGAATATGGCTGGTCGTCGAACGATGATGGCGTGCGCGATGGCGGCAGCGGTGATGAGCCAAGGAGAGGCTTTCATGCACACTACAGGTGAACACAGATAAGGGAGCATAAGATTTGCACGACGAGGAGGAGGAGGGAGAGGAAGAGGAGGAGGATAATGAGCTGATCTCCACTTGCTGAACGGCTAACCTCAGGTTCATCGAAGCTTCACGTTCCTACTTTGAGAAGCAACAATGTCAGCTCATGCTCGGACCTCTTCTCTCTCACACTCTCACTCTCCGTCTCCTCTCGCAGGCTATCTCTCCCCAGATGGCCATGAAACCACAGATCGAAGTCAGCAGCAAGCAAGTCGCCAGCTTTGTAAGTGCAAACTCACGCGGTTGGGGGATGTGCGGCGAGGATTCGAGCACAGGATCCTGGAGGGATGCGAGCTACTGAGCAAGGAAGAAGACCAAGCACTCAGCACTGAAAGATGTCGGCCAGGTTGCGGGCGCTCTTATCCTTGGCAGCTCTGTCCTTCCCCTCGACGTGCAGGCAGACTCGAGCTTGAAGTTCAACTTCCCTCCTATTGACAGGCAACCAGCTACATCCTCCTCCTTGGCTCTCATGCTCCTTCATCTCCTCTCTCACATGAATGCTCCTCTCCTACCCTCAATCCTTCCTCCTCCTTGGTTGGCTCCCCCGTCTCAACCTTCCCCTCCCCCTTTCACCCGGCCTTCTCCTCCGACGCTCACGTCCACCCTTGCCGAGCAGGAAGGCCAAGGATCGTTGCACCTTCCGCTCCTCAGCCATCGGGCAGGCCAATGCTGCTCGTGACAAGCTCTACGATCTGTAGCTGCTGTGTTCCTCCTCTTGTAGGGACATGACGTAGGGCCCCAGGCGAGAGTGCCCGATGGCCGGCAAGGATGCGACAGGTTTTGACCTTGCGGGTGAGGACTCTAGGAGGATGCCTGTCGGTTGCCAAAGTTAAAATCATGTGCAGGAGCCTTGATGCAGAAGGGAGATTTCTCCAAAGTGAAGTTCAAGGACGCTGTCATGTCCAAGGTTCCAACAACCTCCTCATTCTCCTCCCTCCCTCCCACCCTCCCTCCCTCTCCCTCCCTCTCCCTCCCTCCCTCTCCCTCCCTCCCTCCCTCCCTCCCTCCCTCCTCTTCACTCTTTTCCATCTTCAATCTCATTCTCTTGCGGCTTCTCTCGTCCCTCCTCCTCCCCCGCACCACTCTGCCCGTGTCTTCCCATACCTCTCTCCCTCCCTCTCCCTCCTTTTCCTCCCTCCCTCCCTTCCCCGCTGGACCTGAACGGATGCTCCAGGTGTTTGCCGACGAGGCAACCTTCGATGGCGCAGACTTTTCCAACGCTGTGATGGACCGTGGAACATGGAGGAAATCGTCCTTCAAGGTGAGGAAAGAAGGCAGAAAATGTTGTTTATTCCACTTGCTCTCTCTCACCCTCCTCCCTCCTCCCCGTCTCCTCCTCTGCTGATTCTGCTCCTCCCTGCTCCTCTTGGCCACTGGCTCCTCTTTCTGCGATGCTCCCGACTGCTCCTCCTTTCCCTCGTCTTCTCACCTCCTGACCGATACAACATCCTTGTCTCCATTTCTCATGAGAATGTTCAGGGCGCCATCTTCGCCAACGCCGTCTTGTCCGGGTCGGAGTTCGAAGGATCCGACCTGACAGATTCTGATTTCAGTGACACGTGAGATGGCGAGCATGCCTGCTGCTCCAGCTCATGCCCAGCAGGTACATGGGCGACTTTGACAACAAGAAGATCTGCAAGAATCCGACCCTGCAGGGAACGAACCCTGTCACCGGGTGAGCGATGCTGCTGCTGCTGTCTCAAGTCCCCAATGCTCATGCGAACTCCTCTTCACTCCTTCTCCCGTCTTGTTCCCACCCCCTTTCCTACCCCTCCTTCCTTCCTCTCGTGCTACTCTATGATGCCCCTGCTCCATCTCCTCAACCTTCGTCGGCCTCTCCTCCCCTTGCGTTTCTTACTGTATGCTCTTAGCGTGGACACCCGTGCAAGCGCTTCCTGCCGCAAGTGAAGGATCCTCGCACATTCAGGCTTGGCAGATTCTCATCTCAAAGTTTTAATGTTTGAGTTGACAACAACAAGAAGAAAACAAAAAAAAAGTGTAGAGAGCAATCGAATTTCAAACAGGCCGAACAACGTAGGGGTCACCAAACTTTTACACCAAAAGGACATCCCCTAGTGGCCAATTTCCTTGTCCTCCTCCTCCACTTTCAGCGCCGTCATAACACCTCTCTGACTTTGCACAAGAAGCTGCAAGTCTTGGCGCTGATCTGCTTCCCCTCAAAGTCGTACACCAGGCCATCAGTGAGCTTGTCCAGCTGATCTCTGGGGAAACGTACAGAGCCCTGCGAGAACGTTAAAGGAGGAACTCAATGTAGCATGAAATGAAATACAGCAGAACATGGAGAACAACATAACATGGAGTACAGCATAACATGGATGAATCAGAGATGTTGATATTGATGGAAGGTAAGGTCGAGATAACAAGATAAGGAGTGAGAGGTCAGAGAACAAGGCCGAGCAATGCATCACTGACATGAAACATCACTAAAAGCTCCCGCATGTGCTTCCCTACCTTGACATCGCCTGCGCTGCCACGAACCACAAACACGCGCGAGAAAGTGCGCTTGTGCAGATGCTTCATCACTCCATCTACCATCTCCGTGTCCACGAACACACCCGTTTGCATGTCAACATGCACTTGTCCGCCAGTCAACCCCTTGGAAGGCAGCAGCTGTCCCGCTCCCTGCTCAAGCTTTCCGGCGTCGCTCTCGTCACAGAACTGTTCGAAGCGCATGGAGGGAAGTCGCAGAAAACCATCTCCAGGCTCCTCCTCTAGCATGACACTGTCGCCGTCTACCACCACCACTGCCACCCCCTCCATGAACTTTTGCTCGGACATGGCGAATTTCTTCGCCTTCAAGTTGAACGAGTTGCATGTCTTTGATCTCGAGAGATCGTTATCAAGGATGCTGAGGATCGACATCCGATTCGTCGCTGCGGTTTGCATATCCGCAATGGTATCCGCGTGAAGATCACGGTACTCGTACTTGCCTGCCTGGTACTTCCTGCCAGAAGCGTGCAGGGAATAACCGGAAGGCTCGATCATGCATCCCATGAATGAGTCTTCGCCCTCCTCTTCGAGAAACATCTCGATATTTTTGCTGTCCAGGAACTTGGAGAGCGCATTGGCTGGCTCAGATGTAACACCTCTGGGACAGAAGTTTGGGATGGCCTTTTGTGAGAAGGATCCTAGAAGCGCGGTTGCCATCTCTGCGGTGGAGTGGGAGATAGGAATGAACCCAAGGTGAAGAAGGGAGAAGCAGGAGCAGGAGCAGGAGCAGGAGCAGGAGCAGGAGCAGGAGCAGGAGCAGGTGCAGGAGCAAGCAGAAGGAGCAGAAGGATGAGCCGTGTTGGGGGAACAAAAAGAAAGACTAAAGGCGCACTTGCCACCCCACAAATATGTACCCTACCCTACTTTTGACCCCTTCAAATATCAATCACTACCCACCTTTTCATATGAAACTAGACGCTCGAAATTCACCCCCACCCCCCACCTGCCTAACCCAATTTTGAGTAAAAATGTAAACAGTCATTCGATCAATGGGATGCTACAGGGGTGGTGGTGGGCTAGAAGAGGGGTACTAAAATCGTTGATTTTATCTAGAAAGGGTGGGTACTGAGTTTACCGACACACAGAGGAGGGGTCTTCTTCGAAATGGAGTTTTATACAGTAAAGAGGACGAAACTTTACAAACATTATTGAAATATCAGTACAAACTAAATTATTTTATCTTGTTCTCAGCAGTAAAACTGGATTTATCTCATTACAAGTTTATATATATCTCGTGATGTAGATCTGAAGATTCGAAACGTCGAGATAAGGGAGCTTTTGATCGTATGAGCCGAAAAATAACGGTTCTGTAACGCAGTGTGCAGACAGGTGCGGTCGCAACAACGGTAATGTAACCGAAGAGGACAAGTTAACGAATTTGTAACGGTTTCCGACTGATCGATGGAAGTATGACGACAGCAGATTTTTTGTACGGGTGGGGTGGTAGCAACTGACGGGTGGTATGAGTTCTATGTGACTGTCTGCTACTTAGAAGGGTGGGTACTGAATTACATGAGATACCGGTCATAAAATGAGACATGGGTAGTATCTGTAAGGGGTGGGGTGAAGATGCTGGGGTGTGTGCGAGAAAATGCAAGGATCATAGAGGAGCGAACGAGAAGATGAAAAGGGAGAGGAGAGAGAGGAGAGAGAGAGAGGGGAAGAAGAAAGAAGGAGAAGGAGAAGGAGAAGGAGAAGGAGAAGAAAGAAGGAGAAGGGATTGGTTGGAATGACCAGGAGGACAGGTGGCAGTCTGCGCGCGAGGTGGTGAGACAACTCCGTTCAAGATGCGTAAAAATCAGCGAAAACATTGCAGAAATTAGACATGCAATCAGTGTTATTGTCATAGGTGGTACTTTGTTCTGTTTTTATCAGAAGAAGGATTCTGCGGAAGACAGGGTTTGCTTGCCCGGGAGGGGGGGAGCAGTTCTGCTGAGGGAACGCATCTCGATCACACAAGCAAGGATGGTAGATGCGATGGACTGCTGACCAAGTTGTGCAGGATGATTCCGCGCGGCAGCTGCTTCTTCGCCATGAAGGGTTCGGCGTTGCTGGTGAGTCCTCACCTGCTGCTTCGAGTCCCTCGAGTGACTCCTCTCCATGCTAGCTCGGATTTCTCTTTGCCATGATGGAGATTCAAAGTGCGCGCTCCGTCGTCCTGCAGGACACGACTTTCTCGATGAGCTTTCGGGTTCAGAAAGATGAATTCGACCGCGCGTGTAAGCATTCCCCTTGATCGCGCTGTGGCAGTTCTATCCTGTAATTTGGTCTGCAATCAGAGTCATGTTCAACTCAGTTTCCCATGATTGTCTTTCTTGTTGTGTTATTCTCCTCCCGGCATCTTGTTGGCTGCATGGTCTATGACACACGTGCAACAGTGGCCGAAACGAAAGAACTCCTTGCTTTTGCGGAGGAGAAGAAGATGTCGCAGAACACGGTTGGAAGCATTATGGCCGGCAGCCTAAGTCTGAAGGGATCATGCAGATCATGTTCATTCGAGCAGCAAGAGACAAAGTTGATTTTGCGCTCAAGGTCGACTGCTTGACCTCCACCATGAAGAGCCATTTCGCCTCTGCTTCTTGCTTCTCCTTTGTTCTCCACTAAGACCTCTCAGCTTGTTCCAGACTGATAGCTGTACAGGATTTTGCACGACGACAAGAGGAGGAAGCTGCTGCTGAAGCCAGGAAGCAGGGAACTGCGCCAGTCCCCACTTCACTTACCGGTGCGGAGCTGCGTCGGCCCTGTAGCATGTGCGCTTTCCTTTGACAAGTGTCTTGTTCCCTAGACAAAGAGATTGGGGTCAAGGCTCTGAAAGGAGAGGTCGAAGTTGACTCGACCCAGCGTTGATGTCATTGAACGATATGTGCAGGGCGCGAAGAAATGCAGTATCAAGAAGTATCCTGCAAGGTGGAACGATCCATTTCTTGATCAAGTTGCATCTGACTTTGCGTCCTAGCGATCTTGTTTCTCTGCTCAAAAATGGTGAAGAGCAACCTCTGTCTTGCGATGTTGGTATCGCACTCATCGCATTACCAACAGGAAAGGTTGACCTCCGTAAACCCTTCATCATTACTGGTGGCATGAAGTCCTTGGACATGATGAGGCAAGGCTGTCATTGATAAAGATAGAGAATGAGTCGCTGACGAAGTTGGTCAGGAGGATGTTTACCTCTGAAAATCTGTTGACCAACACGGAGATACAACTCAAGTGAATAGTTTGGTAGCGGCTCGATGCCTCTCACAATTTTGGGACAGATATCTGTCGCCAGTGAAGGCCAAAGAAAAGCGATCTTTCGACAAGCAACAATCCAATGTTCCTGAGGACGAGCAGTACGAGTATAGGTGGGCTGTGGCAGACCCCGACTGGTCGCTCCGACTGATCTCCTGTTCAGCTTGGTCACCATGGAGAAATACTTCATGAACTGCTTCAACCTCAAGGTCCACTGCATTATCCCTTCCACACCTAAGTTGAAAAATGCTCGTAGGCCAAACCTGACTTCAGGAAGAACGGTGGTGCAGACACCGAACATTGCGAACAGGTTGATCCAAGCGATGTTGTGATAAAATATCATTAACCAGAGTTCTTGCGATCATCACAGACTGTTGCTGCTGCTCTCCTCGCAAGCAACACTACTGTTTTCAAGGTCTTCGAAAAGGGTGTTGCCGGTTAGTGTTGTCTTGCTTTGAAAACTATCCGATGTGATGTAGCTCGCGATGACTGCAGGCGAGCTTGCATGGCTGCAGCAGATGGAACCAGGTTGAAGACTGGATGTTCTTGGACAATCTGATTGAACTCGTTTCTTCAGGTCGTGAATGGTTTGCGGCAAAAGCAGCAGATCTCCAATCGCTCGTGTCCGATAAAGTGGATCTCAAGGCGAACTTGCAGAAATCGTCCTCCAACTTTTTCACTTTCGGGCCGGCGGGGAGCGGCGAGCAACTCAGACAAGAATCCATTCCCTTCTCGGACGGCCTTGTCCATGGCAAGAGGAGATGGTTCTTGATGGCGCCGAAGGACTTCGAAACGCTGAGGGAGAAGGCAAAAGATGTGCTGGAACCTGCATCTGCCTTCATGTTTTTCGAGCAGCAGAAGGAGGAGCTAGAGGAAGACTTCGGTTTGGGAGGCAAGAAGATGAAATTCTGGGAATGCAACCAGCTTCCGGGGGAAATCATCTACATCCCAAGTGGCACCATCTACACTTCCCTGAACCTGCAGGACGGATTTTCTTACAAACAGAACATTGCAACCTCCCTCAAGGCTGTTGCAGAACGCGTGAACAACAACATCTGGGCACCTGAGAGCGGAGTCGTCCCCAACGGCTACCAGTTTGGTGCTTGCTTTGACTACTTGGACTTCGCGTCTGCTGGTCAGAAACTTGACAAACAGGTCAATCCCTTGCAAGGGCAGATCATCCAGCAGATCATGTCTCAGTACTATCCCGGGGAAAGAGCACAGAATATGCTCATCTTGAATATCCTTGCTGAGTGTAACTCCGTCATGACTGCCGAAGGGCTGGATCAAGAGGTGAGTGGTTTGGCAGGTATTGACACGTTGCTGATGACATACATCTAGCTTGTTTCCTCGACATATTGTCCTCGAGTCTGGGATATCTGCGTCAGCAAGCTTGAACGGGTTCGTTCCACATTTTTCTTGTTTCTTATTCTAACTTTCTTTCTTAGAATGCAAATTCCCTTGGAGCCTCAATACCACCATGGCTGAAGAGTACTCCAAAGCCTGGCCAGATTAAGACAGAGTTATAGTTTTTGCACAAATGTTAAGTAGTCGTATTCGAACTATCACTCTTTCATTGAACAGTCATGTTGTCAAACTCGACAAAGCAGACGCTATCAAGGATTTTGACATTGTTTGATTATGAGCTTGTTTCAAGGGCCTTTCGAGCCCTCTCAACGAGAATTTCCTTTTTTCCAGAAACTGGCAACTTTACGCTGGAAAGAAACAGTTTGAGATCGGATACCGTAACTTTGTTTTTGGTGTCCTCCGACTTGAAAAGAGATCTCAATTTCTCCTTCAATGATTCAATATCGCAATCAGTGGATGATTTGGGCTTCTTTTCATTCTTCAAGCTTGTGCCTTTGGATCCCTTCTTTTTCATGGAAGTATGTTGAAAATCAGCGTCTTCCGAATTCGGAGGGGTGAGCTGTTCATTGCAAGAGGTTTGAGATAGCTTGGAAGAGTTTTCCTTATCCTTGCATTCCAAGGCCACACGACTTTTTGATTCTTGTGCATCTTTAGGATTATCTGAAGTCTCCTTCATGTTTGAGAGTTTCAAGAAAACTTTCGGTTCGATGACTTCTTGTTTGTTGCCCCTGCAAATATCGTCAGGATGGCGGGTATCTGCATCACTCTCTCCAAAAGCTTGGTATGCCGAACGTTTGGAAGGGATCTTCCCACAACTAGTTGCGGCAACAAACTTCCGAAATTGCAGGGTGACAAAGGGTACAAAAGGCTTCGATTGTGAAATCATCTTGTCGTCAATGCTATCTTGTTTCAGTTGCTCTATCCGCCTTGCTGCTCTCTCGGCCTTTTCATCGTTTTCCTGTCGCATACGTTTCCTCCAAGCCTCTATTGTTTCAAACTCCCAGGCATCCTTTGAATCCGACAACCGTGTGCCATGTCTGAAGTTTTTATCATGGTTTGAAATTCGAAACAGACCATCACGTATAGATAAGAACATACGTTCCATGCAGTCTCGAAAGCTCTGTAACATTATCATGGAATTGCTCAAATCCGACTGAATGCTTCTGTTTCGCATGAGAGACAACGACGCTACAAGCATAGATGCTGGGCAACAGACAAAGCCAAGTTCAAAGGCACGAATGATAACGTAATAATTCTCAGTCTGCCAGCATTTGTTAAGGATCAGCTGAGACGCAATCTTATCAGATTCAGGTTTGAAGGAATTCAGTTTTACGTCATCAAATTCTTGCTCAAGTTTTCCTTTGAGGAATTTTAAGAGAGAACTTTGTGACCTGGACACAGCCAATATGGTTGCGTCACGCATTCCATGCAGGAAGATACATCTTCCGCTCAAGTCATCACAGGGTAACATTTCGCCCATCTCCACAACTTCATTTCTCTCCAGCCGCTTGCGAAAGGGTGAGGAATCTGAAATAAGATTTTCAAGTCTCCAACATTTTAGCTGGTAGTGACCCACCAGAAAGGAGAAGACAAGTTCTGATTCTGTGAAAGAAATTCGGCAGTCACACCCAAGGCAAGAGCCTCCCCCGCTCTCCTGACATTTCAAGTAGTCGTTGAGACGCACCAGAAACCTGAGCTGATTTGAATTTTCGGTAGAGGACCCAATGTCTATCCATCTGTCTTGTATGACTACACTCATGTGATGAAAAAAGGCCCAGGTCAGACACAGCATCAAACTTTCGTTGCCAAGGTCTTGAGAGAGTTCGAGCTTCTGCAACTTTGTCTTGGACTTCTTTGAAAAGCTTTGAAGTTCCTTCAGCACTTCCACTTCATCTCTCTTGGAACAAAAAATGATTGGCTCCTGCTTGAAAGAGGGGTTGACGATGCAGATCAAAGGTAAAACTCGGAGCAATTCACTCTCAAGCTTGCTCAAGTTGGCTTCGTTTCCTACCAGCTTGAAAGCAAGAACAACTGTCTTCAGGCTTTTCTGCAACCATAAAAGTCAGCGATCATCTCCCTACCTGACTCTGAATCTATCTTTTTCACCTTCATCGTCTCCATGGCTCCTCCGCCTCGCGCGTGCATGGCGCCCGTCATCGACCATTCTCTGCAGGCCATGAAACCTCACTGCGACGCGGCCGTTTCGCGCCAAAAAGTTTGTGGGCCGGCGGCCCGGCGAGCACTCACTACGGTCACCGGTGACTTCCGGTGTTACTCAGTGAGTCAGGCCGCCGGCCGGACCGGGCCGTCCGGCTGGACTAGGGCCCGGTCCGGAGTCGCTCGGGCCGGAGGCTGGCCGGGCGGGGCCGCATGCTGGGCCCGGGAAGTAACATCGGATTCGGGGCCCGGTTCGCATCCGAACGAAGGCTCAGGCAAGCTGGCCCCCGGGACCCACCTGGGTCTCAGTCGGGGTCAATGTAGATAGCCTCAGTACGGCAGTCCCTTTACTCAAAGTTAAGTTAAGTCACGTTGAAGGCTGTCACGCGGCCTGAAGCCTCGGAGTGGAGCGGCCCGGCCGGGCCCGGTAACTTGAACTTGGAAACTCGTTCAGTCTGGTCGGCCGGGTGATAGTGGCAAGTTGACTAATATCGCTGAAAATCCGTAATGCTTCAGTGCCAAAATGGCAGTGCGGAGACGGAGACGGAGACCGGAGAGGAGGGAGATGAAGAGGAGTGGAGGGAGAGGAGAAGAAAGGAAGGAATGTGCAAAGATCGAAGAGCATGAAGAACGAGGATGCTTATGAGACTAAAGGTGTAGAAAAGGGAAGGCTGTCGGCAAAGAGCAGGGGGAAAGGCAACGGCCTGGCTTCCACGTTCTATCCTCTCCTGACAGATCTTTTTGTTCGATTAGGCCCCCTCCTCTTACATGGTTCTGCCTACCATGCTACGCTGAGACAAGGGAAAGCTCTCTGCCAGACTCAGGCAAACTTACAACGCTTCCATGCCGCCAATGGCCTCCTTGTTCCTTTGCTTCCTGTTCCTTCCTCTTTGCAGTCCCTTTACAAGGTTTGTTGAGATGTTCTTCTCACCACATACAACATCTTACCTCATTACTCGCAGCGTTCCTCCCATTGACTGCAAATTTCTTCGAAACACAAGGTGAAAGCTTTCTTGTAAAGTTTCCTTTCACGTGTACACTACATTGAGTTTCATCTTCTTATCGCAACGTTTCTCGCAGGCATCATTCCACGCTGTACATGCAAAAGTGAAGTTCAAGTTGTTGACCTGCGAACTTTACCTCACTCGATCTTGTTGTTTTAGATCCGACTGCCCTCCAGTCAAGTCGTCTGCTCCCAAGCGCTTGCCTCCTGCTGGTATCTAGTGTGTTTGTCCTGCCCCTGCCCTCCACTGTGCTGAATTTTTTCGCTCAATTGCCCGAGTTACATGCTGAAGGGAGAAAATTGTACAGGAGCCTCATCGTTCTGGGACCACCGACCGTCACAGTCGCTGGAGGAGGAGCAGGAGCAGGCGAGAGGTAATGGAGGACGTTCGTGTTTGGAAGATCTTAGCATGTCTGAGTATGTGCACAGCAGGAGGGGAGAGGGTGAGGACGGCAGAAGTGTTTGTGCTGGGAGCGAGTCGTGCCCACACGTCTACCGTTATCTGGTTACACGGGAAAGAAGGAGACGACCCGCGGGTGAGGTAGCAGGGGAGGTGGAAGGGAGGGAGGGGCAGGGGCAGGGGCAGGGGCAGGGGCAGGGAGAGAGGGAGAGAGGGAGAGAGGGAGCGGGAGTAGAAGGAGGTAGGGAGGTAGGAGATGGAATAGAAGCCAAAGAGGAAACGAGGTGAGGGAAGAAGGTAGGACAGGAAAGAGTTCGAAACGGAGGAGGATAATGAGCAGGCGGAGAGGGGAGAGGAGACGACACGGCAGCAACGACCACGAGGAGGAGCGGGGACAAGGAGGTAGAGCAAGTCTGATGTGTGGGGCAGGGATGGTTGCGCGCGTTTTCAAAGATGGAGTTGTCATGGTGCAAGTTCCTATTCCCTGTCGGGACGTTTCCTCTGCAGCAAGTGAGTCGATCGACACTTGTATGCAAGTGCTGTGCTGGTGGCTGATGCAGGCGAGGCAGGGACAGGACGTCCGAGCTGGTGCTGCGTGCTGGGCAAGGGAGGGAGAGGGAGAGGAGGAGCAGGTAGAGTGGTGGTGGAGGAGTTGCCGACTTGCAGTGATCAAAACGACTAGTTGATGAGAAGTGCTCGGATGGTGATAGAGCTGCTGGAGCAAGAGGAGCGGTCAGGTACTCGAAGTTCCTCCACCTCCTGCATCGCGCGCATTCCTTCCGCTCTGCTTCCTCCATCCCTCCCTGCTTTCCTCCCTCGTCCTCTTCGGCATCCTTCATCCTTCTTGTCCGCATCCTCTTCCTCCGCTCCTCTTTCTCTTCTCCCATGTTTCTCTCCTCGTCCTCGTCCTCCTTCCTGTCCTCATCGTGTAAGAGCAGGCATCCCTTCGCAAAGAATCGTCATTGGAGGATTCGGACAGGTGAAAGAAACGGAGGGGAGGGAGGGAGGGGAAGGGAGGGAGGATTTCCTGATGACGTCATCGACGACAGGGAGCAACCGTAGCGCTGTTGACGTCGCTGCTGTGGGAGAAGAAGCTCGGCGGGATCATGTGCATGGCCACCTTCCTCCCGGAGTTCTTGAGGAAGCGGAGCATGCAGCCTCCTCTCGATGTCTCAGTCGCTGTCGCGTCCCTCCCTGCCCTCTTCTGCCATGGTCTTCCTCCTCATTCTGCTCCTGCTCCTGCTCCTGCTCCTGCTCCTTCTCCTTCCTTCTCCTGCTCCTGCTCCTGCTCCTGCTCCTGCTCCTGCTCCTGCTCCTGCTCCTGCTCCTGCTCCTGCTCCTGCTCCTGCTCCTGCCTCCTGCCATCCGATCTCACCTTCTACCGCCTCCTGAGCATGGCGCAGGCAGCAAGGACCCTGTCGTCCCTCTCTCAGTATGCCTGGGCTCGTACAAAGTGAGAGGGCAGGAGGCGTGTGCGAGTCTATGACTAAAATTGTTTGTTAGTGATGAGCGTTGGTGGCAGACAACTCCAACGACCCTGTCCAAGTCACTTCTCTTGACGGCGTCAAAGTCTGTAAGGTCGCATGTGGATCCGCACATACGGCTGTCGTGACAGAGAGCGGCCACGGT